CGGCCAGCATGGCGCGGGAGGGAGGCGGTGCGGGAGCGAGGTGCGGGAGCGAGAGGCGCTGCCCCGCGGGCCCTACGCGCGCCCCGGCGCCGCCCGAGGGAGCGCGCGGCCTCGCGCCATCCGCGCCGCGCGCGGCGCGTGTGCCGCTGAGCGGCGGCGGGCACGCGCGGCCTTCTTTTGCGGCGCTTTACGTCAGCCCCTCTCCACCTCCTCGGGGCGGCGCGCTTTACGGCAGGCGGGCGGAGGGGTTGAAAACCCGGCACCGGGAAAAGTTCTTTCTCCCGCCGCTTTCCCGCCCTTCTCCCGCTTCTTTCTCCCCCGCTACCTCCCGGCTCGGGCTCGCCCCCGGCGCTGTCCGTGGCGGCAGGGCGGGCGGCTGCCCGGGGGTCATCCCGCTCCGCCTGCCCCGGTGCGGAGCCGTTCCCGCACAAGCCCCGGGCGGAGGCAGCTGAAGGTTTGCTTTGCCTCGAGAGACCTCTCAGGGAGCGTGAGTGGGGTGTTGTTCTCGGCACTCGCTTTCTGCCCTCCCTTGCCCGCGTTTACTTTAGCTCGAGAGTTACAAGAAGAGTTTACTTTTCCAGGCGCAGCCCTTTCTTCGCTGCTGAGGCTCTTTCCTGTCCCCTCCCAGCGCTGGCAAAGTTTAAAATCGGTATCTAACACCTGCTTCCGATTAGTTAATCCAGCAAGCTGCTTCTAGTGCAGGATTAAGTCCCAATTTGCAAGAAGGTGTCTCCTCTGCTGCCCCCATGCCCCCACACGCGGACAGACAGACTGACAGCTGCTGTATTTTTTTCAAAAGAGCCATTAACCACAACCTGGACAGAGGTGAGTGCTTGGCCCTGGAGAGTTCAGGTGTGGAACTATAATTCCTTAGCTCTCTTAAAACCATCTCATCTGCCAAACTAGTTTTCAGATTCAAGTATGTTGGAGTAGATTCACACTAAGGCAGCCTTGAGCAGTTTAACATGTTCTTTCAACGCTTGGATTTTGGTACCAAATGGCTGTGGAAGGATGGTGCAGATCAGACCCTTCTCGCACTTAAATTAGAAGATAAGACAATAAAGCTTCAGTATTTCTGCTTTTTTTTAATCTATCATATCTTACCCTAGAAATAAAAGAGGGAAAGCAGAAGGATCAGCAATGCATTCTCGATTTTTTAAAAATATATTAGTCTTTGGGTCGTTTTGTTTGTGTTGTTTTTTAATACTTACACTAAAAGCTTCCCATCTGCTATTTTATTGCACCAGACCGTGATTCTGATTTCATCAAACTCAGCACTTTGCTCTTGCTGAACACACATTCTTCTGTGTCAGGAACAGTTACACAAAGACATCCATTACTTGTTTATTATTTATCTTGCAGTGGCCACAAACACTGTACAACAGTTTTGAACAAATAATATTTCTCATATATAAAGTTTAGTGAAAGTCAAAATCCAGTTCCTGTTTTACATAATAAATACCGTAATAAGGATATTTTCTTCAATCAGACTTGCATTTCAAATTAAATCTTGGCTTCAAAGACCAATAAATATCAAACTTCAAAGCAGCAAATGAAGTCAGTTTCAAAAAGGTGCCATTTGGTAATAGCTGTAAAAACAGTGTTGTCTCAACATGAAGGTTCCCAACTTTTTTGAAACATTTCAACACTTTAAATTCCCCTAATGAACTACAGTGCTGAAAATACATCTCACACCATCATCTCACACCATCATGAAAGATTTCTGGGTTTAGAAGTAAACTCTGTCCTGGCACTGTAATAATGTCAATGTAAACCCACACTTCCCACTCCTCAAGGATGATGAGGTGCATTCTAGTCCTACACAGTCCCTTTTGGGTAAGCAGACCCTACAGGATGAGTCAGGCAGCAATACCATGTGTCAGTTTGTCCTGAGCAGCTTTAAAACAAGCCTGGGGGCACTTCAGTTCCTGTAGGGAAATCTCAGCCTCAGTCAGCCCCAGTGCCAGCAGTGCCAGGCTGCAGTTCAGTTCAGTGTCTCACTGCTGCAGGTCCATCAGTCCAGTGTATCCATCATGTCCCAGGGAAGTTCATCACAGTGACTCTTTTCACATTGTCTGAAGCTGATAAACTCTTGAACCTTTTTTCAAAAGATAACCCTGGTCATTCAGGGATCCAATAAAGCTTTCAAAATCAGATACCTGGAGAAAATAAAGACAAAAATATCAAATAGGTGAATGATGCCTTATCTGATGTAAAGCACCATAAACTGTTTAAAAGAACTCAGTTAAATAAAGTGAGCTGACAATAGGTTGGTTTCCTCAGCAAACTGTTGACCTACTAGGAAGTGGCACACCATCAGTCCCAACCTTTTGTGCTCCACTTACACACTGTTTTTACTGTAGTGTTACACAGAAGTTGTGTTCTCTACTTTATGACATGCACAAAGTATGCAGTTCCATATGTATAAATTCAAGTTCTGTAACACAAGTACCTACCAAAGAAAAGCCTGATTTCTACAACTCTCACTGATTTCCAGGTGTAGAACTTTGAATGGGCAAAAAATATTCTCTATATGAAGGGAGAATGAGAGTTAATTGAATTAACTTTAAGTTCTCACTGAATTACTGATGATCATGGGAGAAAAGAGATGGATGTACCATGTTCTGTCAGACAGGATTCAAAACAAATCTAGACTTATGTACAGTCAACAGTTCAACAAGTTTGGAAACTGAAGCCATCTTGCCCCAGCAGGCCCAAGTAGGGTCACCAGGTAACAGAAAGAACAGCACCACTTCCCATAATTAACTTCTCTTTATGAAACTTATTACCACTACTTTTCACTCATTGCATCTGAAATCCAGTTTTAAGTTGGCACTTAAAACTCTTTAACATAAAGCAAAAAGTAGAATTAGCTACCAATATTTTTGTTTGGCTGAAGTCCCCCACAAATACAAAATGCAAGTCAATTACAGGGTAAAATACATTTGTGGCCATGTGTCCAACATGATGTTCCTTTCAAGTTACAACATTAGGATGCTTGAAGCGGGAATGAAAACCCAAAACAAAATATTTCATCCAGAGGAGGTCAAACAGAAACACCATTGCACTGCTGAAATAGAGCATGGACACCACAAGGACAAATTTGGGAACAAAAGTAGGTGTGCCCTCTGGGGAGCCAGAGGGACTAAAGTATACTGAAACCAACATTGCTTTTCACAGAACAAAGCAGGGTCTTGTCAAGGACCAGCTTCAGAAGCAGAATCAGCCCTTACTAGTGTGAGGAGTTGCTGTTGCCAAACGGCTGGTGAGGTTAGTAAAGCTTACAAAGGCACTTCAAGAAGATTGTTCAGCCTAAAAGCAGCATTAAATTGGTTATTTCTGTTCACTGCAAAGAGGCACAACAGGTGTGCCTTTTCTACTTCCCATTTTGCAATAAATAATTTTGACTGGTCTTGCAGTTTGCTGTTGAAGAAACGCCTGATTTCCAGACTCACCCGTATCTGTAGCTCCTTTGCAATCTGCCGAAGCTGCTGCAGGTCGAAGAGGTTGTTGTAGGTTCTTTCTGCGATGCTGTTCAGGGCAGAAATAAATCTTTTTGCTTGAGACCGATTGCTCATCCCAGACCCGTGCTGGGAACGCTCAAAGTCCAGCTTTCCAAACTCATCGGAGTAGGTTCCCAGCATGCTAAAAACAGATTAAAAAAAGACCAGCAGGAGATAAAAGCAAACATGTGGATTTGCTTCCTAAAACTGCTTGAGAAGGCTTTCAGAAGCCACATAGGAAACCATCCCCTATCAAGAAAGTCACCATCTAAGAAACTTAGTCTAAGCTTTCATCAAAATTGCTTTTAAACTTTAATTGTTCAGCTGCAACAACAAAGAGTAATCACATGAGAGAAAAAAACCTTCAGCAGCCTCATGCCTAAGTTGCCGTGCATGGATATACACAACCACATAAAGGCCTAAGCAATTGTGTTCAACTTACAGCTGCTGTCAGCTTTCAAAGACAAATCCAAATATTAGTATTATGGGCCTAAATTTGATCAAGTGATTTCTCCACTGTGTTTGCATATGTTAAAAAAAAAAAAAGTTTTGAATGAATAACACCATGATTTATTTAATTTTTAAAGCAGTGTGTGTTACCTGTATTTCATTATTTCTATTACATCCTCAGCATCTTCCTTGGTACATTTCTCTCTTAATTCCAGCCTTGATCGTGCCTTAAAACAAAACAAAAAACCCCACAAAGGTTTATTAAGGATATATTATAGCTGATGTGAAAAAAGGCTACAATCACTCTACAACAAGTGCAAATTTTAGGAGCAGAGATGGAACTGAAGCCTAGAGGATTTAGAGGAAGTTGGGGTTTTTTTGTTAGTGTTACAATGTCACCTCCTGCATACTTCATTATTAGGCTGTAGCTTGGAGTTTGTTTGCTTTGTATTCTTGTGAAGCAGCAGATCACAAATAGTGTTATTAAGGTAGAGTGTTAGGGAAAACAGCAGCATTCTAAGTTCAAGATGGGCAGCAGGTTGTTCCTGCCTGTACCTACTTTTTCTCCTTTTGGGAAACGTGATATATTCCCTTTCCACCCCCTCAAGGGTGTTTTACTTTATAAGAGGCTTTAAGGAACAGTAGCTCTTAAGCACTTCTAGGCCTCTTGCATTCTCATTTTTTTTTTAAACAAAACAAAAAAAGCAGAGTGGTGAATAAGCTGTCAAAGATTATTCCTAAGATACTTCCGATGTCCTATAATTTCTTTGCTTTCAATCCCTTGAATTTACCTCTGTGAGTCGAATCAGCGACTCCAGCTGCCTCGTGGTGATGGGGGTACTGTCTGCTCCCTGGTTCTGCTTCCGGAGCTCAAGGTAGAATTCCTGGAGGACCTGCGCAGCCTCTGGAGATAAATTTGGATGAACGTACTGCCGGGCATATCCCACATATTTCCTCAGCAGCTGATGTGGAATGGCATCAAAGTTTTCTCCTGTTGAGATCTAACCCAATTACAAGAAGCTTAGATTTCTGTCAGAACCCTATACAATAAAAGTTTTAATATAAAATCATCATCTTCTATGCTTTATCTGGTGGAGTCATCACTATAAGGGCTTTAGTGCTTAATATATGAACAGTGTACTTGAAGTCCATACACTGTGCTTAGACATGTAAACACACATGCTTGGCCATTTCAGAAGAAGCAGCCAAGGCTTCTCATTTGGCATGATAAGAAGTGCCAAATAGGATTTAACTATATACTGAATTCTTTCTCAAAAAGAGAAAATCCAAATTCCCAGTTGTTACAGCTCTGCAGAAGACTAACCCATCACTGCTGATATCCCATTTCCAGAAGTGCATGGGTTTAGCTCCAGCAGGAGTATTTCTCCCAAGACCTGTCACTGGACAATATCAGTTCCCAAACTGATCATTGAAGTCTAAAATGAAATATACTTCCTCTCCTGTAATCCACAAATCCATCGAATTGCAGATGCCCAAGGATTTGTTTACACATGGCTTTATTTGGATTCAATACTTCATTGCATACCATGTTATAACAAATTATTATATCCAGTCTAATTTTGTAGCTCTTTATTGAAACCTAACACAGCAAATTTGCTTTAGAGCATCTCATGCAAAGTGTCTTCTCACAACCAAAAACCCACCAGCTCAGCTAATAAATTCTCTTCCATGTGATGAAGATGTTTTGAGCCACATCTCCCAGCAGGACAGGTCATGTTAGATACAGTAGGCAATTGGTAGAAACAGCTAAATGCTTCCTCTAATTCAGAAGCAATTATGAGAAGAATGGGAGCGGCAAACTGAGGACATCCAGCAGGTCAGGGTCACTGGGTCCCAGTGCAGGGGCAGAGCAACAATCAGAGGACAAGTCCTACCTTTAGCCTTTCAAGCAGTGGTCTGTCAGACACAGCCTGAAGGACAGAGCGGTCCTGGGAGCTGGTCCGGGTCACAACGGCGCTGCTGCTCCCTGCCTGCTTCCCTGCCCGGATCGCCATCACATGCTCAGACAGCAGGTGGTCGTGGTCTTCATTGGGGGTGTCCAGCAGAATGAAAACCAGATCAAATCTTGACAGTAAAGCACTCCCCATTCTAGAGTAAGGCAAGGAACCACACAGTGCTCAGAGAAGAGGAAAAATTATAGCAACCCTGTTCCACTTCAAATACATATAAAAAAGTCCTGTCCCGTTCATCCAGAATAAAGTAGAAAAGCAATTTCTCTCTCAAGAGCCACCAAAAATTATTAAAGTTTGTGTTCAAGCTCCAGAAAACTAGAAAGCAGTTATACACAAGATACAAGACTACCAAAAACATCTACTCCTGAATGTGAACTATGAAAGCAGCATTTCAGAAAGTGCTCACTTTAAGTTCTCAGACACTGTTTTGGCTTTGTTATAATGTCCTCCAACTGGGTTGGCTGCAGCAACAATGGATGTCCGAGCTGGCAAACTGCAAACAATGCCAGCCTTGGCAAGGCTGATGCTTTGCTGTTCCATGGCTTCCAACAAAGCCTGATGCTGGTTTCCCATCTTATCGAATTCATCTATTCCACAAATTCCTGGAAGCAATTAAAACAAGACAAAGACTTACTAGAAAACACATTAACTGATGGGCAAGTGTGTGCTACAATCCAGTGGTCACTACATCAGAAGTCCAACCTAGAATTTAAGGGACTGCAGGAGACATTGGACAAAGTCTCCAGTTTAGCAAGGTTTGTTTTCACTTCATGGTAATGCAGCCAAACCATTATGAAGTCAGTCTGACTTGTAGATCTTGATTACACATTAAAATGACCAAACGAGCTTTTTATAAATAGACAACAAATCTCATAAGCTATCTCTTTTTCAAAAATTTTAAGAGTCCAGCAGCTGCCACCAAGTCACATTTCTGAACAAAAAAAAAATACTAGTTCTTTGACAGTTAGTCTAGTATGTGAATTGCAGAACTGAAGTTTTCCTACACCCAAGGAAAGCAGGGATCCCCTCCAGAGAAGTCACTGGTGAAGCTCAGAATTTCCCATGGTGTGGAAAGCCAATATCATACTTTAAATATACATTTTTAGTCCACTGTTAAACGAGCACTGTGGTTAATCTTAGACTCAGCAGCGCACACACTCCTGCCCCTCACATATCATCATACAAAACCTGTGGCATTACATGTATTACCTTGATCTCCAAGCACTAAAGCACCAGCTTCCAAGGCAAAATCTCCGGAAGTGCCATCTCTAGACAGTGTAACAGTCAGGCCAGAGCTGGTGGAAGTATTACCACAAACATACACACCTCGAGGAGCAACATTACATACTGCCTAGAAGAGAAATAAATACTTTTTCCCTCCCCAAAGTGAAGAATTTCATAAAGGTTATTCTAGAGAAACAATTCAAAGTAAACCCAAACTTATTTCTATTTTACATGGCCCAACTGTAAAGCTGTAACTCCTTGCAACCCCAAGAGACGTACTTGTGCAATGCAGTAGGAGAAACTTCGGTCACTTGCAGTACAGCCATACCCTATTGTGTTATCAAAATTACTGGGACCTTGGGCACAGCACCTAAAGGACATTTTACAAGTATGTTGAAATGCTCAGGGACATACTGTCTGTCATGGAATTGCAGATAAATAGTTTCTGTATCTTCAGACCCCAAGGTCTGTTTAGACTAGTGTCTTGCCCTAGTGCCCAACACATGCCGCTTCACAGAAAGCACACGTAGTTCTCCCCACAGCTAAGGGATGAAGGACAGTCCTAGTTTTCTCCATGTCTCTAGTATCTGGAAAGCAGCCTACAATTTGAAATACGAACTAGAAAAGCAAAGCATGGTAAGCTTGAACACAGACATGTTGCAGTTAAATTTGCCTAGAACACAGTTATAACTGGATTTTCTCAGATAATACCTATAATTATTCCACAACAGGCACCTCTGCTTTATTTAAAAGATAACACCCAAATACTTGTCTAGTATCAAATATGTGTGTCCTGGTTAGAACGGCTGGGACCAATTCATCCCTGGATGGGTGTAACCCAAAACTGTGTATTCTATAGCCTCCATGCCATTTCCCAAAAACTGCTGTCAGTAGAGGCCTGCAAGGTGGGAAGATGTTCCTGTACCCTTTTATGGAATTCCCCGCTCTGATATCCTTATATGGAATTCCCCGCTCTGATACCCTTATATGGAAGAGGGACTGAGCATCCGCATGCCCTTTTATGGAATTCCCTACTCTGAGGGAGGGACTGAGCACTCCCGCCTGAACTGGAGAGTATATAACTGGGAGTTTCAGAGCCTTGAGGCTCTCTTGTGGGACCCAGAGGAAGACAGCAGACCACCGCTGCTCCCAACCAGGCTGAGACCACCACCCTCAACTGGACTGCAATCACCACTTCTGACCAGACTGCAGCAGCTCTCCCACCAGCAGGTTTATCCCCTCTCCCTTTGCTTTGGACTCGGGGAGTGGGCCAAGGTACACCACTTTTGTTCATACCCCAGGGTGCTGGGTTTGTACATTTGGGTTTTGTGGGTTAAAACCAATTGTCTGTCTGTATAATTGTACTTATTGCATTATTTTAATAAATTGTTATTCTGACTTATAAATCTCTCTTTTGAATTGAGTTCATTTTGCCTTGCTGGTTAACTTTTAAACCAGCACAATGTGACAGGCACCAAGTAGGGAAAAAAAACCCCAACCAACCAAAAAAACCCAACAAACCCAAAACCAAAAACCCCTACACAGGCTCCTTGGCTTTTCTCCTTAGGATTCTTTTCTCTGACAGTGATGACTGAGAGGTATCTTGTCTCAGGGTTGTATCTGAGGAACAGAGTACTAGCTTTTCTTAAATGTTACTAAAAACCAGAATGCCAATGTGAAAAAAACAAATCAGCTACTCTGTGCCGGAGAGTCCCCATTCAACAAAAAAATAATTTAAAAATGTGTTTGTTAAGATGCTTGCACACAAATCCATCACTTTGGTTAAATTATTGCAAATCACATCCTAACATAACAGGTCCACATTAGAAAGACTCAGACTTTTCAAACAAGGTATGCAATGCTGCAGGTCTAAGTGAACTCTGTCCCTCTTTTACTTCACAGTAACTATGGGAAAAGAAACGGAATTTTAAAACCATTCCTTTTAAGATAAAAACCCCCAACCCTATTACTAACTGATTTTGTCATGGTCATGCAGAAATGCCTACCAAGATTAAAACCCAAATGCAGCAGCCGGTCCCTTTCCCAAAAAGCCAAGATCTGTTCTAGCAACGTAAAAACAGGGTAAGAGAATGGAAGTAAACCTCACTGGAGGTGAGTTACATGGCAAAAAATTGCATTTGTTCCAAGAGTGTACTTATTCTGACAGTGGACCAGCTAAGTGAAGATAGGAAGGAGCGAATCTCCTCACTGGGGAAAAGGGTTCTTAAAAAAAAAAAAAAAGGGCAAGACAACAAGCCTATAAACCTATACCTGAAAGTCCACAGGTAGATATATACTGACCAAGTATACCTGCTTTGGAAAGTGTTTTAACAGGCCCTTCTGCAAGGCTCCTTGCAAGTACCCCTTTGGGTACTATCCTATATCTGAGGCATCTGACATGAAAACATAACTCCAACCACGCTCAAGCAACCCCTTGGTCTTAGCACACCTATCCTACCATGATTACAAGAAGCCGAGATAACAAGGAATTAGAGAAAAACAGAGGACAGTGATACATCAAACCATACTTGCAACATTTGACTCTTTCCTAATCCTGGATCTCCAACAACCAGAACATGTGGATCTCCTCGCACTGGGATTCTGTTCTTGTCATCCACAAACTTCTGACATCCTCCAAATAACGCCAGGGCCAAACCTGCCTTTACAATCTGTTGCGGAACATACCAACACTGATAAGTATTTGATCATGGTGACCAAGACTGACAAGCTCCCTAGAATTGGCTGTAATAACTCTGTTCATTTTGGATGACTGAACTTGAAGGTATAAGGCTGCCACTTCCTTGACACCAAAAGTGACTGGGAGTCACAGTCACCAGTGAAAACAGTCCCCTACCCACACCTGAGAAAAGTTTTATAAATCCTTTAGGAATTTACTGTGGCATAAACATTTCAATCAGAAATTGCAAGCAGAGTTGTTAAATTACTTACCTCGTGGCCATAGATTGCAGGACAAAGAGAGCTGAAAAACAAAGAACAATGCAACATGAGGGGAGTATAAATCAACGCATCAGTATTAAATAATCCCTTATTCTGTCTCTTGTCACAGAACACCTTTATAAACATATAAAACTTTTGGTTGGCTGCTGCTGAATTTCCAGCAGAATCAGTTTAGACCAGCAGCATCAAATTTCTTGAAATTTTTGTACAACAAGAAATGCTTGATAATAAGAAAAGACTTTCACTTGAATTCCCACAAAGACAGAGGAGAACCAGCTTCCCAGTGGTTTCTGCACCTCTCCTTATCTTAATCAAGTAACTACCTGAAACCCTCCTTTTAAAGTGCTAGTTTTGCATTCTTTGACTACACTGGGAGGCCCTGAGGGACACCTAGAAGAGTATTTCTCAGTCTGAAATTAGTGTTTTTCACACTCTAGGCTCAGTTCTTGCAGCTCTTTCCTCCACTGTAAAGCAGAGAACAAAATGGTACTTGTAACTTGAATTTGTGCAGTGAGGAGCAAAATTAATTGGTGTTTTATTATAGCTTTCTGTGTCAGGGTTGAAATAAAACACAGCTAACTCATTGTATCCTTACACCCCTCCCAAAGTCCTAACATCCCCACTGCAATAGTTTCACTTCCTCCCAAGTTCCTTGCCCACTAAAGTTTGTTATATCTCTGTGGTTTCTGTTGCACAAGCCTTGGACATTTCATAGCTTTAAGATGAGCTGTCACATTTGTCTGAGGGTGGTCATACTGATTCACAAGTCTAATCCTAGACCTAGTCTAACACAACTTACTTTACGATGAGCCTGAAGAGATTTTCCTCAGCTTGAATTTCTTGGACAGCATAGAGGTCTTTAAGTGAAAACTCCATGAATGATCTTTGAAAAGTCTCATCATCAAAATTCTTTAGTTTTTGTCCTTTACTGTTGCTGACAGAATTTGCCTCAATGTACAACAAGAACATACACTTGTCATTCTTATTTTTAGAAGCTCCTGTTAGAAAAATTAAGAAAGGATGATGGAGCATTTTTCTTCTATCATTAAGTATTCATGTTATCTACAAATGGCATAGATTAATTCAGAAATATCATACACGTGCAAAATGTTCATATATAAGTACTGAACATCTGCATTTTCTAAAAATGATGCAAAATAAGTTTCTAATTACATTTTTTTAAGGTTCCTCCATTCATGTACACAAGAAAATATTTTTCTGAAATGGAGGGTCTATGTTGAGGCAGAGAATTTTCTCCCAGAATAAAAAAGTTTTCTAGGAATTTTAAATTATTACATTATTGCAGTCAAGTAAAAGTTGAATATAAAATGTTTCCACTCAATATTTAGAGGAAAAAAAGATGCACAGTGCAGAAGCATTAAACATATAGCTTAATAATTAATCATTTTCTATATACTCCAATGATTATTGAGCAGAGAATGAAGTCTCAGAGTAAAACAGTACTGCAGTTATCTGCAATGTATTCTGTTACAGCTTTGCACAATATATTTAAAAAAAAACTTGTAAAATTTGACTAGGGAGGACTAAACTAAGAAAGATAACAGTCCTTCACAACAATGTGAAAGTTCTCCTAATGTTTGAAGGAGATATTAAAGATTAAGGAAATAATGAGTCATAGTGAGAATTCAGGAAACAGGGATGTCCCCCCTACATTAGGGGTCCCGAGATGGCTTTTCTGTCAGCTGACATCAGATGTCAGACTGGCACTTCACATTCAGGGCCCGCAGTTGTGCTGCAAACCCCACCCTCTATCAGTGATTAGAGGCAGTGCACCTTTTGGGCAACCATGCTGTCAAAAGAATTCTTCATTGTAAAACTCTGGTAACTTCTGAGGAAATGTACCCTTAATGCACTTACGACTGTGAGAGCTCAGATTAGGGGAGGTGGCTTTTCTTGTGTAACCCCTAAAAAAACCCCACCCTCAGAAGAAAGTGTTCTCAGATGAAGTATTTCACCTTCCTCAGTGCTTGACACCTTTACTATCCCTGTGATCGTGACCATATCTCCTGGGACACAGCTGTCCACAAGATCTTGAACCAGTTCACACTCGATTGTGCGAGGGATCCGTCCTGCTTCCCGCTGATCATCTGCCATGAGCTCCTGCACCCTGCGAAACACGAGGTGAGTTACACACCAATTCAGCTGCAGCATCCAAGATCTGCAGCTGTTAAGCATCCAGCCAATCCTTTCCAAATTGAAACGGGATACAGCAGAAATGCCCTGGTAAATTCTAGAAACAGCAGTGCTGGAGAAACAGGCTTTTTCAATTCAGATTTCAATAAATGGGTATAAATTATGCATAAAACTTAGAAAGACTCTTATGAACTCCAAGTTGAAACTCAGTTTTTCTAGCACTGCTGAGCATGTTAATGTAGAAATAAGCACAGGACATAAAATAAGATGGACCCCACATACAAAAAATATAAGGTCAGACATTATAAACCCTCATAAATGCTTAATTGGTATTTTAACCCTAGAAAAACTCAAGAAATTTCTCAGACCATAACAAGAACAGTAGTTCACTCTATAGTTGTTAAAGGCTAGCAAAGTTTCAGTTCTGGCTCTGCACTTGCGGCTCCGATAGTTTTTCTTGAAGCCGAGTCAGGCTTTACTGAAGAAGCTGTGATAAACATCGCCCTCTAGAGCTGCTACATCAGCACTTCTTTTTAAATGAATTTTTAAATTGCTTACATTACAGAACGTTACTAAAGAAAAACTTACTTAGATGTCACTTGTCACACCAAGACTTCTGATACAGAGCGTGTGAACTTACAGAATCTGAATGTTAGAAGTGGGGAAAAGTAAGCAGAGGCCCGTTTTTTCCAAGCTGACACCCTTCCTGCTGTGAGCCAGGGGGATGAAACATATCACAATCTTCTGAACAGGTATTATGGGGCAACGGTATTCTACCTTCCTACTGTTAATTTAACACAGTTAATTTCTGTAAATATGGTGACTTGCTCCCCCATAGCAAAGGTCTCACAAGTTTTACTTGCTGATTAGACAAAGAAAGCAGATGAATAGGCAGGTATAGCACTATTTCCTTCTACTGACTGTACCTTAAGGACTGGGGGACACAAGATCACTTCAAACTAAGATTTTTAACCCTCCAATTTACTTTCAGTTCATTCATGTCAACTGACACAGCTGACTGATATAACTTAATAGGTCTTTTCTAGCTGACTTTATCTCATTAAAGGGAATCATTAAATTACAGATGCAATAAGAAGTGATCAAGAGAAGCTGCAAAGAGCACAAACTGAACATTTCTCAAAGAACTCTGTAATGGCAGGACAAATTTCCAGGAAGCTATTCCATAGGGTAGGTTACAAAGTATACCAGTGCTTGGATAAAACAACTGCTTTGTGATACAAATGTTGAAGAGTGCTTTCTGCAAAAGAATAAGATTATTAAAATTACACAGTGTAACAGGGGTTGAGCCACCCTGTCACTTTTTGAGTATCCTATGGCATTACATTTTTGTGCAGAAGGGAGGACATACTTACTTAACAGACTGCCAGTCCACTGTAGTGGTTAAAGGAGAGCTCCTGTCAGCTGTGAAGGATCGGCCACGGCACTCAGGAACAAGGCACTGTAACAACAGGAATTCTAATTCATTCTCAGCCTTTTTTAAAATCATAAGTTGAAACTGCCTAGTTAAATTAGGGCTATAAATTAGCATGTACATAATTAATGAAGAGTTATCAAGCACAGACACCTGAACTCTGACTCACAGTTGTTGGAGCATACACAGAAACACAGCTGAATTGTATGATCCCCTTCCTGAACTGGTTTGAGTTGGGGAAGGGCAGTGGGGGGGAAAGAGGAGGTGGTGAGTGGGTTTTCCTGGTTTTCTTTTTGTTTGGTGGAATGTTTTGGTTGGCTGCTTGGTTTTGGTGGTTTTGTTTTAATACCCACAGATGCTCTAGATAATTTTTTTCACTTGAGGACATCAGGTGACATAAAATAACCAGGCATTGTCCTATTTCTAATAACTTTTTAAGTCCAGATAACAAACAGCAAAAGGAAAATAGAAAGTTCTAAACAAAACTCACAAAACCCCCTAGTGCAGGCATAGAAAACCACCGCAGCCAGGTGGAAGAGTCTTTTTAAACATAAGTAGTGAAATGGAAATTAGGGGTTAATATTTTTTCTAGAATTCAGGGAGTTTCTACGTATCGCTTGTCACATACACTGTTTCAGCAGGGTGTGTTTTTTTCAAGTAAAAAGGGCCTGAAGTAACAAAAGCTGCGTGGTATGATTAATTTTTTCCAATGTGTCAGTTGTTTAACCCAGCTTTATAGACAACACTTTTAAATTTTTTTTTCTTTTTTACTACCGGTGGTGTCTTTTTTGCGCAAATCACCAACGATAAGGGAAAAAGTATGAAGTAAAACCATTTTAACTTACCTTAGTTGGAAGGGTGTACTTTCCATCAGGGAGAGGAACACTCTGAACATCTCCACATGTGGCACACACAAAAGCCAGCTTGGTGCACAGAGGCTTTATGTTGCTGACACGCACAACGGTGCCGCGCAGGGCGATGTATTTGCCGTAGCAGTTGGCCCGGACGTTCTTCAGCTGAGTTAGTGGGTCATAGTTGTACACCCTGCACAAAAATTAAGCATTAACATTTTGAAAGCTTAGCACACATAAACGCAGAACAAAAAGAAATCTAAAACCCACAAAACCCACCCAAACAAACAAACAAAAAAATCCTCCTCCCAATGGAAAAAATGGTAATCCAGAAAAAAATGGTTAGAAATATTTTGTCGGTGGACCCACGGCATAGTCTTCGATTCTTGTTCTAGAAAACATTTAATAATCTCCAAAGGTATACACCTCAACAGCTGTACAGTTTGTTTATATAGTGACACTTCCCTCCTGTAAACAACCGAGATTAGCAATACAACAGAAACTACTTTATAATCGTGTAAAATTGTCTCTTTCCATTATTTCAGATAAACAATGGAGTTGTAACTCAAAAGGGTCAAAGTTTTATCATGCCTAAGCTCCAAAACAAAGGGTAAGTTTTTGTGTTTCGAGGACATAAGGACATCAGGTACAACACATTGCCCATTTTTAAGGGCAACAAAGTACTTAGACAAATCAGAATGAAACTTAAGACAGAGTTGCTTATCATGGAGTGGATCTCATAAGATTGTCTAGTCCAACCCTCCTGCTCAAGCAGGGTCAGCCAGAGCAGGTTGTCCAGATACAAGTCCAGCTGAGTTTTGAATATTTGCATGGAGGGAGACTACACAACCTCTCTCACAGTAAAACAGTGTTCACATGGATTTTTAAGAGTTTTAATTTGTACCCTTTATCCTTTGTCCTGTCACTGGGCCCCAATAAGAGTAAGGCTCTTGAAATCCAGGTTTTTCCCTGCTCCCTCAACTTAGGACCCCAGACATCACCATCACATGGAACTGCAAAACTGTTTTAGAATCATGATCTATTATGGATTTATGGAATGCTTTTGTCTACAGGATAATGGTCTGTAACTGTCTCTTAGAATCTGAGAGTTTGTACACACCTTTTTTGGACACAGGTTTCTCCTAAACACATTCTACTGTGTAGTTAAAAGCATGCTGTTATAATTATAAAAGTGCAGAACTTAAAAATACATCATAGGGCAATAAACCCCCAAACTAAATCCACTTGCCATCCAAATGCCAAAACATGCTGTTTTCCCATACCAACTCACCACCAGCAGGGAATTAAAAACCATAATAAAAAAAATAATTTTTTAAAAAAGTAATTTAAACTCAAATAGAGTTATACTCCCAGTTCCCCTCAGATCCTTGAAGTCTGAGACGCCATTACTTAAGGAAGTAAAGAAAAAACTTATAAGGATTCGTTTCATCAAAAACTCAAAGGAAATCACATTTTAAAAATTATAACAGCAATTATGTTTTTGTAAGAAACATTCAGAGTTAATGTAACCTCAGCTTATTCCAAATTATAGTAACATCAGCTTCTTAATTTCAAATTGAAGTTTAGTTAGAATTAATATTCTTGACTGTCTATCAGTAATCATTTAATAGATTTAAGCTAATAAGAAATAACACATCCTCATATGCCACTGCCAAAACATCCATATAAGGAATAATAAATATTACCAGCTTCAGCTTATGTCCACACCCTCCAAATCAACCTCCATATTATAAAGATGTGCCTTTTGCTAACAAAAAGCTTGATCATAATTACATCCTAACTTCTCCAGTAAACACAAATTTAAGTAGGTCTGCTTTTAATCAATACATGCTTTATAGAATAGTTGTACTACTTACAAGTCACTTTTCTACTTACAAGTTTTTCTAGTCACAAGCTGTTTGCTCATCTTATAAGCATGTTTCATTTCATTTTTTTCTTCACAAGGACAGTTTAGCCTTTGTCATGGTGAAGAAAAAAGCAAAATGTAGACCGTTCTTCTGGAAAGAGCTTCACAGAATCAAATCCTTCAATAAATATGTAAGCCTTTAGCAACATGAATGGACACTGACAACCATTAGACAAGAAGCAAAGAGGTCTTACTTGGAAAAACTCAAATACTCAACACCCATTACCTGGCATGAATGAGAGGCACATTTATTATAGGTTCTCCCTCAAGTGGTAATCCTTCCTGCACCTGCAGCTCTGCAGCGTGCCTTTCCAGGTCCTTGGTCAGCACCTACATGGAACAGAAAGGAGGACACAGCTGCAGTGTGCCATGCTCAACATGGATTCATGGATTTGCTATTAAGTTCAATTAGCATCCCTCACAATCAGATCCTCCTACTGAAGTCTAATGACTGTCCAGTGACACCCCACTAAATAAAGTTTTTCTGCTTCTGAGCAGTTTTAAGCCTAATTTTAAATGGAATTTAAAAATCAACCTGTTTGTTGTGTTTGGGTTTTTTAATTTAAAAAAAAAGTATACAGTAACCTTTAATGCTGTGGTCAAAAAGTGAAGTTTCATTTGACTAAAGCACCAACATCTGAACTTGCGTGTCAACAGGCACTGAAATGCTACTTTAAGAGACATGGAGCAGTGCCAGGAATTCTTGAATCTGCTCACCATTCACCTGCCAGCCATGGTTCTGCTGTGTGAGGTGGGACAGGCAGTGCAAATAACTCACAGTATGTTAAAAAAAACCCCAGGAATTCGAATTTCCAATAGGGAGTAACACAGGTGCTAGAACTACATTTAACTGCTGTAACAATGAATAAACAAAATGCACCAAGGCCAAAGCACTTTCAAAACGTGATTTTGTGGGCCCTACAGAAATGGGAAAGGTTCAAGGATCTGAGTTTTAAATAAACAGTAATTTCTTGTAAGACAGGAAAACAGAGATTTGGGTTTTATAACATTTATAACTTCTTTGTTGTGAGGGTTATGCTTCTATATGTTAGAACATCATATTTACCTGGTGAATTGCCAGACCCATACTCTGCAGTATTTTCTCAGGCATATCCCTTAATTCTGTAGATATATTTGGTATTGATTTAGTCAATTCTCTGTCTTGTATTAGTTCCTTATAATCCACAAGAATACTTCCTTTTCTTTCTATTTCATCCTGTGAAACATTGTAAGTTACAAAATACCCTTCAAATGAGAAGCACAACACATCCAAATTATGTCATAAACGTTTCATGTCTATGATGGAGGTTATTTTTGATGGAAAAACTACTCAGGATTTGTAATGTTCATGTATCAACAACAGGCTGTTGGGGTGGGATATGTTTTGGGTTGTTTTTTACCTTGTCATAAAGCTCAATGCGTTGCATGAAAAACTTTTCAAAGGCTTGAGTCTTCTGGACAAAAGGAGACTTGTCACTATAAGCTAATTAGAAACGTAACACATTAGTAACTAAGAGAAATAATTACTTCAGTTTCACAGGACACATACACAGGTAATTTCTCTTCCATTATTTTTCTGCATTCCAAAACTAAGGAGGATGATAGATCTCTACAGTATCACAGTAACGTTCTATTGTAAGACCTGTTACAAACCAGAACTTTGCCCAAGATGGCATAGGACAAGCACATATGAGAAGTCCAGTAGAGGAATGCATATTCCAGTCTTTGATAGACTGCAGGTTTCGCGTGCCTAATTGAACAGGCTTTAAAAAAAATCACATTTTACACTATTAAGGATTCTTTTCCGAGGTTTGCAGCCCACAGAGATTACAGTATGCCACAAGACAGAAGTCTGTATTGTATTCATGGTTTTATATAACAGATATGTATTTTAGTGTTTTTTCTATAACTCACAAACACAACATATACCAATTCTAGAAAAAAAAATTAAAATACTTGCTACATATAATTTTGGTCTAAAAATACCTTCAGAGAAATAAAGTTTCCAGCCCTTGTAGGGAATAAACTGGTCCAGCGTTGACTGGACTAGTCGAGATTTTGCTGGGGGAGATAAAAAAAAACGGAAAAAAAAAGATTAAAATGGAGATTAAAAAAAGTGATAGTAAAACTTTGCATTTACTCTCAGTGACTCGCGGGAGACGAACAGATGTAATTGCCTAGCACAGAAGTAGGTCAAAAGAAAAGCACTTCGGCTTCAGAAAGCAGGTAGAAGCACAGGATTTGGCTCACCAGGTTCGGGAATCCTTTTGCTCTCTCCCTTCTGTCCCCTGCCTCGCCATCCTCCTCGCCATCCTCCTCGCCATCCTCCTCGCCACCCCTGAAAGCCTCTGCCCCGGGCGCACCCCCGGCCCCGGGGATCCCTGCTCATCTCTCTCCGCCGGCGCCAACAAACTGCGGCAAAGAAACGGTAAGGAAACAGAAGTTTTACCGGAAGATACTTAATTTAAATTAGGGCTATTTGCCAGAGAGGATGGGGGGAACGCGCGGAAGGCTCGGCCTCCCTCTCCCTACCACAGGAAGGCACAGAGGAGCCCCGGCTGAGGGGACGAAACAACAGCACGACCTCCCGCAGCAGCGGCCAGCGCTTAGCATGAGCTCGGGGCTCCGCGGGCACTTCCCGCTCTCAGGATAGGATAGGATAAGATAGGATAGGATAAAGATATGATACCACCGGGCAGGGCAGGAGCGGGAAGCGAAGCCCTCAGCGGCCCCTCCCCTCCCCGCCTCTGCCCGCGCTCCTGACTGCGCAGGCGCCAAGCCCAGAGCGGGCCCGAGCGGCGGCGGCGGCCATGGAGGCGTCCCCGGGCGCGCGCATCCGTGAGGGGGACTGCGCCGTCCTCAAGCGCGGCGAGGTCTTCAAAGCCGTGCCCGTCCTGCGCCGGAGGTGAGTGCCCGGACCGCGGCTCTCCGTGCTCGGTTTGCGCCTTCTCCTGCCCCCGTGAGGCGCTGCCAGTGGCAGTCGCGGTCCCGGCCGGAGGAAGGGGGGTCCCGGTCGCGGTCCCGGTCTCGGTCGCGATCCCAGTCCCGGTCCCGGTCCCGCCGCTCCAGGCACAAACAGCGGCCTCGCCCCAGGCTGCTGTGACAGGCGGTGGGAAAGGTTTTAGTGCTGCCTCGGTTCCTGTGACAGAAAACAACCCGGAAGATCTCCTGGCTGCGTTTCTCCTGAGAATTTTAAAGGAATTTAAGGTGGTTTTGTGTTGTCGTTGTCAAACGGGTGCCGGTCGAAGAGGAGGAGAGGTGGCGGCAGCCTGGGAAGCGAATCGTCATCACACCTCGCCGTGGCACGGGATTTCTGCGAAATGCAGCATCACCTCGTTAATTAGGGGTTGTTAATTGGCCTCGGTGTGCTCAGTGTGCAGGAAGATGCTGGCGCTCAGCTCTGGATAGTTACTATGAAAGGTCTCCTATTTCTCTTTCCTAGGCCATCTGGCATAGCGGGAAGCGCCTGCACCCCGGCAGGAATTGCTAGGATCAATGGACACAGCCTGGGCTTCTCCCCATTGCAGCAGACAAATTTATAGACCAAGGTGTAGAAGTCAGTGTTGGGTAATGTGGCCAGACACATCTGATTCAGTAGGATGGAGATTTGAAGGTACTACGCTTGAATGAGACTGGTTTAAAAACGGTGTAGCTCAGACCTAAGAATTTGGGAGGCTTAATGTTCACCTGTAGCATCTGGCACCAAAACTATAGAGCCTATAGAGCACCGACAAGGTCTTGGTCATTAAGTCCCTCTAGTTTTTGCTTAAAATCTCTATCATAAAAGAAAGAATACAAAAACCAAAGAGTAAACATAGCCATAAGCAATTAAATTAGTTTTGCATTAATCTTCCTTTCTGTAATCTTATGAGGGTAAGGACACTCCAGGAACATGTGACAATAGCTGTTATTTAATTTATCTATTTAATATTTTCAGTCATTTAAAGTCTTTTGTAGTAATTTATTAGTCTTTTAAAATCTGGGTTGGCAGGGGTTAAGGGATTTTAATTTATAATGTCCTTTTTTATGAAGAGGATTTGGTAATGTCTCTGATAAAACTTTATTATTACACTTCCTTTAAATTGTAGATTTTCTTTGGGGGTACAAATAATATAATATGTAAAATATATGTAGAAATTGCATACTTCAGTCAGAATAAAACTGGAAATAACAACCTTTTTCCTTAGTTTCAGAATTAGTGATGAGTATAATTTGCATAATAGCTCGTATTGACAAGTTTTGGTTTGAATGTGAGTGTGGCAAAATATAGTGCTACTTGTTCCATTTGGCAAGATTGGTATTTCTCTGGTTAGCAAGGCAGCCTTTGTAGGCCAGCCTGAAAGTTGAAGGCTTTGTGGATCCTGTTTTGTGTCAAGAAGGAAAAATGCAAACCTGCCTTAGTGCAAAAGGGATGATACAGTTTGGGGTTTTTTAAAAAACATTTCTAGGATTGCAAGGCACTCTCTGTTGTCTGTTTTCTTCATAGTCTTTTGGCAAATGTTATTTCAAAGGAGCTCTGCAAAATACAGGTTCATGCTCATCTTTTTGCAGTGATCTGCATGACCCAGCCTAGATTTCATATGATTAATTTAATTCCTTGCCTTGTTCTGACTTTCTCTGTCAAAAACGGTACTGTATGATTTGAGTGCCATAGCCTTGTTTTATCTCTTACTTTAAATATCTTTTAAACTGAAAAAAATTTTGTTACTATATGCTCGATTTAAGTTCTTTGTTCTTTTCTTAACCAGTTTCAGTTTAATCTGGGTTTTGTGGTTAATTTCACTTGTTATGCTTGTCCTGGTTTTCTTAAAGGGTATAGATAAAAATGTCATGTATAAAGCTATAGTTTAAGCTCAACTCCTGTGGGTTTCAACATAGTAAAAATAATGCTTTTAGTGTCATTAACTTTTCTCTTATTTCAGAAAAATTATTTTTGAGAAGCAGTGGTTCTACCTGGATAATGCCATTGGACATATTTATGGGACTACATTTGAAGTAACCAACGGTGGAAACCTCCAGCCAAAGCAAGAGGTGGAAGAGACTACCACAGGTATCACAATCCAACTGGTATTTGGAAAAACTAGTTCAACTTAATTTTTCTTTGATAGTGGAAAAGCTTTCTATTAATCCTTTGTTAACTTAATGTTACTTATATTCTTTCTGTCATAAAAGTGCATGGTTTTGGCTTGATCTGTTGTTTCACTAATCTTGTAACAAATAAGCTTTTTAATATGGGAGAAAATTTGAACCTTAGTTTGGGTGAATATATATATACATTAAGGTTTATTTTACATATTATGTTTCATTGCTTAGGCTGTGCTTTGCAAGGCCATAAAACGTGTGGGTTTAATTATGAGAAATCTGCTTTCTGTGAAACTAAAATCATGTGTTTCTCCTATTTATTTAGTGCTAGATTTTACAAATCTATATCCTTTTCCTTTAGAAACAAAGGAAGCAGGTACAGATAATCGTAACATAGTTGACGATGGGAAGTCTCAAAAACTGACTCATGATGACATAAAGGCTTTGAAGGACAAGGGTATTAAAGGACAGGTAAAAATAAGGTTTTGGTGTCATTTTTTTGCTACCTTGATGGTTATACTTTAGTTTATGAAATAGGCTATTCTTTTTATCTGTGTATAGATTTCAGTACTTCTTTGTTCTTCTGGTCAAGTCATGTTTTTTGGTTTTACAGAAATGCCAAGGCTATTTTCAGAGAAAAATTCATGTAAGGTGTGCAACTTTGTCAATGGAAAGTAAAGTATAGATTTTTATGGCATCAGAAGTCATAACAGATAAAAAAGTACAGCTCACATAATCCCCATTTAGTTTTGTTTCTGTATAAGATTCAAAATGCTATTTCTGTGTTACAGGTGTTTTAAAAGCATGCCATAATTAATCTATCAAAGGTGTAGGGAAGGATTATGGACAAATAACCAAGTATGAAGAAATAACACTGTGTAACAAATGTCCCATCAGTGAGCCTGTAGGTACCTACCAAACACGTGTGATGCCTGTGCTTTGTCTGTACCACAAAAGCTAAGAATGTTCTCCAGAGATCAGTTCTGTTCTGTTAGAAAAGGGGTTGGTATTGACCCTGCACCTTGTCATAAAGTGAGTGAGGCCTTCTTAAATGTCAGTGAAGCATTGCAGCCACTGCTGTTCTGCACAGGCAGTCAGGCAAAATTGTCTCTCTTTGGTTTACCCTTTCTAATAAAAATAAGAAATTGCTCATGCTTACATCAAGTCCATCTCATCTCCTATTTGCATCTTGCTGCTTGCTGCTGCTCTTTGCAGCAGTTTTTCTGCTTCTGCCTGCTTAATAATGGATGGACCCAAGGAGTTTAGAATGGTATTTCTTCTGTTTCCATGGTTGTGCTGCTAGTTGTGTTATCTCTTTGAGAAGAACGTACTAATCAGTCTGACAGCTTTGATGTTTTCTATTTGTTCTCATTATCTGTGGCAGAAGATCATTCTGACTTTTCTGTACGTCCTCAGTATGTCTGTGCAATACATCTACCATGCTTTTATTTTAGGTTATTAAAATATCCTATTTCATTGCTCTGGTTTCTGAACCATGGCTGAATATTCAGTTTAAGTTATGTTAGCAAAAATAGACATTATTCCTCCATAAATGTCTAGAAAAATCTGAACTGTTTAGGAATGGCTTGTCTTTGTGATGCAGGCTCAGTTTAGAGATGATTGTTATTTGAAATAAAACTTCAGTGTTGTTGTGGCTTAACCCCAGCCATCAACCAAGCCCCACACATCCACTTGCTTGCTCCCCCACCAGCAGGACTGGGAGAGAATCGGAAGAGTAAAAGCTGCAAAACTCGTGGGTTGAGATAAGGACAGTTTAATAGGGAAAGCAAAGCAGAACAAGGAATTCTTTCACAACTTCCCATGGGCATGCAGGTGTTCAGCCACCTCCAGGAGGACAGGGCCCCATCACGTCTAGGGGTGACTTGGGAAGACAACCACCATTACCCCAGACATCCTCCCTCCTCTTTCCCCTACTTTATATATTGAGCATCATGTCATATCCAAGGGTCTGGAATATCCCTCTGGTCAGTTTGGGTCACCTGTCCTGGCTCTATCCCCTCCCAGTTTCCCATGCACCCCCAGCCCCCTTGTCAGCTTGGCACTATGAAAAGCAGAAAAGGCCTTGGCTCTATGTAAGCCCTGCTCAGCAATAACAGAACCAGCTCTATAGGATCAACAGTGTTTTCAACACAGATCCACAACACAGCCCCGTACCAGCCACTGTGAAGGAAGTTAACTCTACCCAGCCAAAAACAGCACTAGTGTTGATGGGGCTTGATTTGCCATCCCTTCACAAATTCTTCCCAGTTCCTGAGGACTATGTCAAAATGAAGATGTGAAGTGGCTTGTACTCGCAGGGCATTGCACAGTGCTGCAGCTTCCTTTTGGCTTTTGCTTACCCCAAAGAAATGCTCCTCAGTTTCCTTACAGTAAATTTTACTGCAACAAACAGCCCCACAAAACAACAACATAAACATCCCAGACGCTCCATTTAATTTTTTCCAAGAATAAAGCAAAAAGAAGGAGATGGTGTTTCACACCATAAGTAATACCTGTTAAGTGTTTGAAGGAATAATGGCCTGCAAAGCAGCTATAGGAAGTGAGAAGCACTTGCAGCACTGTGTTTTTAAACTCTGAGCAATGAAAGCTCCATTGGTTCGGTTTGGTTTTCTTGGAAATGTTAGTGATCCCTTCAGCTGGAATCTGAAAGTATGAGGAAGAGTTGGATTGGCAAAGGGTGGAGACTAGAATAAAGAGACCAGG